CGGCCCCGCGCTGGGGTCTCACTTGCTCTTTTTGAGGGCCGTCTCCACGTTCTGGCCCCGGTGCTTGCGGTAGAAGTCGATGAAGGAGAAGGGCAGGGAGATGTTGAGGGGGCTGGCGCGGGAGGGGGCCGCCGCCCGCTTGCGGGCTTCGAAGGCGATGGTCAGGTCCACCCAGGCGGCAGGGCGCTTGGCCTTGAACGTGGCGATGAAATCCTCCCCGAAAATGTGGCACAGCAGCCTCTCGAAGGCCAGGTCCACCCCCACGGCCCCGTAGGGACCCCCTGGGGAACAGGGAGGGGGGGGGGCGGGGATGGCGGGGCTGGGACATCCATCTCCGTGTCTGCCATCGCCATGGCCCCAGACCTGTCCCCAACCAAAATCTCACACGCCCCCCCCCCAGCACCCCTGTCCCTCTGTCACCCCCCCCAGCACCCCTGTCCCTCTGTCACCCCCCCAGCCCAGCACCCCTGTCCCTCTGTCACCCCCCGAAGCCAGCACCCCTGTCCCTCTGTCACCCCCCCATCCCAGAACCCCTGTCCCTCTGTCACCCCCCCAACCCAGCACCCCTGTCCCTCTGTCACCCCTGTCCCACCTTGAGCCCCCAACCCATCACCCCCACCCCCTGTTGTCCCCTCCCCAGCCCCTGCCCTGCTCCCTGCTGTCACCCCCCAGCCCAGCACCCCTGTCCCCCTGTCACCCCCCAGCCCAGCACCCCTGTCCCTCTGTCACCCCCCCCAGCACCCCTGTCCCTCTGTCACCCCCCAATCCAGCACCCCTGTCCCTCTGTCACCCCCCCAGCCCAGCACCCCTGTCCCTCTGTCACCCCTGTCCCACCTTGCACCCCCCACCCATCACCCCCACCCCCTGTTGTCCCCTCCCCAGCCCCTGCCCTGCTCCCTGCTGTCACCCCCCCAGCCCAGCACCCCTGTCCCCCTGTCACCCCCCCCAGCCCAGCAACCCTGTCCCTCTGTCACCCCCCCAGCCCAGCACCCCTGTCCCTCTGTCACCCCCCCCAGCACCCCTGTCCCTCTGTCACCCCCCAACCCAGCACCCCTGTCCCTCTGTCACCCCCCCAGCCCAGCACCCCTGTCCCTCTGTCACCCCCCCAGCCCAGCACCCCTGTCCCTCTGTCACCCCTGTCCCCCTTTGTCCCCCCCATTGTCCCCCCCCCAGCCCCTGCCCTCCTCTCTGCTGTCACCAGGTGGTGCCACAAGCCCAGCCACCACCCTGCAGGGGACCTGGAGGGGACCCCGGGCCTGGTGGGGGGGTCACTGGGGGGGGGGGGGGGGGCAGGCTGGGGGCTGGGGGGGGGCAGCCCACCTGAGGCTTTGTACAGCTCCTTCAGCGTCCCCTGCGGCTTCTCGATCTGGTGCACGGTGAGGTCCACCGTGCCACCGCCACAGTCCGCCACGATATAACGATCACCTGCGGGCAAGGACAGCGGCCCAGTCGGGGTCCCGGGTCCCCCCCCCTCCCAGGCCCTGCGGGGTCTCCCCCAGCCCCCCCATCGCCTGGCAGCTCGATGGGGCTGATCCCCCACCCCAGGACACCCGTCCCGTGGGCTCTGAGCCGCCGCCGGGACACGGTCCTTGTGCTGTGCTTTCCCCAGGGAACAAAAATATTCAGCTTTAACCAAAATATGTTTTGGTTTTGTTTTTTTTTTTTTTTTTTCTCTCCTCCCCCACCCAAAAAAACCGCTGAAGATGTTCTGGAGGGCAGGAGGGGGACATTGTGGGTGTTTGCTTGGAACAACGGGACGGCAAAGCGGCGGACAGACCCTGCCCTCCCCTGCATCGTCCCGGGGGGGGTGGGGTGGGGGGTGTCAAAACCAAGTGACAAACCGGAGCCGTGTCACCCCCGGCACTGGCAGGGGCACGCTCGGGCTCCCGGGAGGGCTCTGCCATGGGGGGGACATCCAGCCCCCCATCCCCTCGCCCAGGGTAACCCTGGGGGGGCCAGGCAGCCTGGGTGCGGTCTCCCACTTGTCCCCCCCCCTCAGTGACTCCTGGGCGGGGGGGCTGGGGTCTGCTGGGAGGTGGGGGGGGGGGGGGAGCACTGCCCATCACCCCTCCTACCTGCCTGCATTTCCGACCAGAGCTCCCCGACTCCCGACTCCACCAGGAAGGTTCGGCTGTGGCGGGACCGCCGGAGCTGCTCTCGGGCTGGGGGATGGAGCGGAGGGACTGGTGTCAGGCTGGGGGGGGGAGCATTGGAGCCAGGAGCATCCCTGGGACCCCCCCCAGCGGGTGGGGAATGCTGGGGAGCGGGGGGCTGCACTGGGAGCACTGGTTGCTTGCTCCCCCCCCCAGCCGGGACCCCCGGCACGGCCCCAGCTCCGCCACGGTCCGGCCATCCCGCTGCTCTGCCCGGGATCCCACCTCACTGCACCCAGCCCGCAGTGCCCCCGGGGGGGGGTCCCTGGGCGATGTCACCTCTTCCCACTCTTGTCCCCAGCCCGGGTGGGGTTTCCTCTGCTCCCCCCCATCCTGGGACAGGGGACGTCAAAACTGCCCGGAAGGGCAGGGAGCTGTTTGGGGAAGGGGGGGGTTATCCCACCCTATTTTCGGCACGCCGAGACGGACGCGGCACACTCACTCCATTAGCCTCAGCCCCAGCTTGCAGCTCGAGCCCCCCGCTCCCCTATAAATCCGGATGCGACCCCCGTTTTCCAGCCAAACACAAGACAAGGGCTGCAGACACCGCCAGGTCCCCACAACGCGGCTCGGTCCCAACTGGGCAAACTGGCTCTGACCCGGTAAAACCCCGGAGTGGAGGGGACCCCCAGGCTCCCACGCGTGGGGGGGGAGCATCCCCGGAGGTGGCTCAGCAGAGGGTCTCGGCCGGCCCCGGAGCAGCGGGTGGATCCTCTCCCTGTCCCGGGGTTACGGTTACGGCACCGGCCGGGGACGGGGGAGCCCGCGGGCTCAGCCCGTACGGAGGGGCCGGGCTGGGGGAGAGCGGAGCTGCTGGGAGGAATCCAGGGCTGAGCCAGCAGAAACGGCTCCGGCTGGAAACGTGGGGAGAGGGAAGGGGAGAGGCAGCCCAGGGGCCTGGGGTGGAGGGCGAGGGCAGGTTGGGAGGGTGGAAGGGGCCACGGGGGCCGCACGGCTCGGACGCTTCCTGGGAAAGCAGCCACCGCCCGCCCTGGCCACGGGGGCTTGGGGAGGGGGAGTGGGGGGGGAGAAAAAGCGGGGCACGGGGCTCCCCGGGGCAGCCAGAGCCTCCCACTCCCTCCCTTAGCACTGTGCCCCACTTGGCTCTGCCTCAGTTTCCCCCGTCGCTAGGTGATGCCGCGGGCTGGGGGTCCCTGGGGCGGTGGGACCAGCCCTGCCCTCGCCCGCTTCACGGCTGCGGGGCTCCCAAAAGCGCAGAAACCCGCACGCCTTTCCCCAGAACCGCCCTCGTTCGCTAAAGCGCCAGAGAAGGGGGGAAAAAAAAAAAAAAAAAAAAAAAAAAATTCTAGGGGCAGGGTCCCCTGCGGGCGCTCACCCTGCCGAAAGCTGGAGTCGATGGGGTGCTCCGGCGCCAGCCCGTTGGCCGGGGGTTTGCAGCTCAGGTCGATCAGCTGGTGGAGCCGAAGTTTCCTACAATAAATGGAAGCGGCTTCGGGCTCCAGCGCGATCAGCAGCTGCTCCGGGTTCTCCGGGGACACCAGCCCGGCCTGGGGGGAGGACGGGGTGTCAGGGCGGAGGAGGTGCCGGCGCACCAGGCCGTGCCCCGGCCTTTGCGCATCGCTTTGGCCCGTACAGGTCCTACCCGTCGAGCAGCGATCCCACCTATTCCGGCTGTGCAGCGGGTGCCACCCGTGCTGCTGGGGTGGGTTAGAGCCTGCCCGTCCCAGGGACCCAGGGACGCCCCCCCCCCCCCCATCCCTGGGGGAGCACACGTCCCCCTCCCCAGCTCCAAAACCCTCCCACCGGCTTTCAAAGTGTCCAACAACCAGAGCCCAGCTCTGGCTCCTTGGGTGACCAGGGACCCTTCGTTATGGGGCAGCACCCGCGGTGGCGGGGGGGGGGAACGGGGGACAGCAAGGGTCACTGAGTGGAACAGCCCCCCCGGGGGGGTCCCCTCACCTTGTAGGCAGCCTCTCGCATGAACTGCTTGGCCGGCTGCTTCCAGATGGCAGGGACGGTGATGACCCAGCGGATGGCATCTCTCTCGGGCAGGGACGGGCACTGGTCCTTCAGCTCCTGCCGGGCAAGAAGCAGCCGGTGACCCCCCCTTCCCCCCCCCAAACCCAGCTGGAGCCTCGGGGCTCTCGGGGAAGGGCGAGGAAGCAAGGCGTGGAGGGGACAAGGCGCAGGGCTTGTACTCGGGGAGGGAGAGGAGGGTTGCGGGGTGGTGCGGGGAGAGGCGGCGGGGGTGCCGGGGTGCCCCACCTGCACGGCGTGCTGCTTGAAGAAGCGCAGCGCGTGGGCGAACACCTCCAGCGCTTGCATTTTCTTCCCGTTGACAGCTTCTAGTTCAGTTTTCATGGTGAGGTCCTGCCAGGAAGAGAAATAACAGCGAACAGATCACGCAGGGTGCTGGGACGTGCCCGGCGTCCCACCCCGGCTCCATCGGGCAGGGTGCCCGTGTGTGTCCCCCCGCCCTGTGCCAAACAACCAGGGCACGGGCACCCGAAGTGCTGCTCTGCGGCCGCATCTCCCTGCCCCGAAGCAGCCCGGGTGGGAGGAACCAAAAATTCCCCCCCCTGCAAAGGGCTAAAACATCGTGATGGGCAAAGTGTGCGTAAAGCAAACAGGGAGCTGGGTGCGCTCGGTCGGGATGCTGGGGAGCAGAGGGTTTGCTTGTAGCCCCTCTCCAGCCCTCCTGGATTTCTGATCCCCCCCCGCAGTGAATTCCTCTCTTTGCTTTCTGCAAAGCAGGACGAACCCCTGGGACCAGCTCAGCTCACGTCCAGCCCGGTCAGGGACCCCGCAGGTCCCCTGGGGAGGTCGGGAGGGGGCGCAGGGACTTACGCTGGTGCTGTGAATTTTCATCTTAAACTTCTCGAAGTAAAGCCAGTCGCGGGCCTCCTCGGGGTCCAGGTCGTGGTAGTAGTCCCTGGCAGTGTAGCCGAAGCTGTGGAAGATGCCCTCCGGCGTCAGCAGGAGGCTGGTGGGGGTCTTCTGGTTGGCCACCCCCGGGTCCCCTCCTTCCCATTTCCTGCAAACAGGAGCCGGCAGCAGCCCGTGAGCCTCAGGGCCAGCCAACGGGTCCTGCCCCAGTTCATTTATTTGGGTGGGCACGACCCTCTTAAAGAGGGACAAAGCAAGGACTGACGTCCCTGGGAAGGCCACGGACAAGGAGTGCTCTGCTCCCTGTGAAACCCCGCAGGGCTCCTCCGCTCCCACGCAGGTCGTTAGAACAGAGCGCTAACGAAGAGGTGCTCTCACTCCACCCTCCCATTTCAGGGGCTCCCTCCACCCGCCGCTGCCAGGCAGCATCCCTCACCCGTGATGGTGGGGATGTTCGTTGCCCAGCCTGGCTCCGTCCCTGCCTCCCGCCAAGCTGACTTCCAACCCCTTTGGGCAAAATAAAAAAAAAAAAAAAAAACAAAGTCCTTTAACAGCTCTGGGAGCAGCTCTCAGGCCTCCGGCCGCTCCTCACCTCATCATGTGGATGGCCTCGGGGTCACTGGAGAAGCTGAAGGCGTAGCCGCTGGACGTGGTGCCGAAGTCGATGGCCACCACCACGGCGAAGGAGGCCGTTTGCTGGGAGCGAGCCTCGCTCCTCTGAAAGGCAAGGGCGGGCGTGAGGGCCAGGGTCTGCCCTGGGGGCAAGCGTCCAGACAGGGCTGGCTGCTTCCAGCAAACGGCTTAAAAAAACCCCCAAAACCCACAACCCATGAAGGGGTTAATTTTTCCTAGATCAGGTCTGGGCAAGGGATGCAGTGATGCTGCGCTGCGATGCCGGGGCGATTCCTCTGCTTACACAGCTCCACATCACCAGGAGAAGGGGCTGCCCGGGTCCCTGCGGGCTCGTGGGGATTTGGGGACCCCCGGGGAGGGAGGGGTGTTCACAGCTTCTGCCCGTGAGAGCTGCCCGGGGCGGTGCTGGGGTCCCTGTTTCTTCCCAGTTTGGGGTGGTGCTGAGCCCCCCACAAACAAATTTTAGCTGAGATTCCCCCCAGACCTTCCCTCTCGGTCTAAGGGACCTCACCCCAGACGTCCCCAGGGGTCACCCAACCAAAATCCCTCCTGGCCCAGCTGCTTTAAGGGGTTTCTGCTGCTGCCTCCCCCAGCCGATGCTTTCCTGGTCCTTCCTTGGGGTGCCCATCCCTCGCCTCCGGCCCGGCGGTGCCAAAGGAGCCGAGTCCCGCGGCCGTGTCACAGCGGGGCAGACACGGAAAAGCTAAAAGCCCTCATTAACTTTTAACGTATCCCTGATTTGACGAGCACAGCCATTAGCTAGCCGTGACAAAAAGCCGGCGATGCGCGTGGCTGAAGCGGCGGTTTTGTCTCAGCAGTGTGCGTGTTCGGGGAGCTGGAAGGACAGCGAGCGCGGGGGAGGAACCGGCTCCGACACGCTCCCCGCCTGCGTCCTTCCACACCGGGCTGTCCCACGGGACACTCAGCGGGAGCAAGCTGAGGCCAGGAGAGTTGCAAAAACTTTAACTTCTGCTGGTGTTTCCTCCGGCTCCTGCGCTGGAAAAAACCCTCCATCCCATAAAACCCATGGCTAAAGGGGGGGATTTAGGACCCCAGTGATGGAGTGACCCAGCCTTGGACCGGTGTTGGGGTGTGCGGTGGGGTTGGCGACCCGGGAGTTGGGGTGACCACTGGCCAGGGAAGGATCAGAGGGGGCAATGCTGAGGGGGACGGACCCCGGCAGCCCCAGGGGACCCCACGACTGCCTTACCGGTGACTGGGAGGGCGTCAGCGGGGCGATGCTGCAACTGTCGTGGGGTGTCCCCGGGGAGCCGGGAGGGGACGGCGTGGGGCACCGCTCGCCGTTGGCACCTGGGGACACAGCAAGGTGAGGGTGGGATGCGGACGGGTCCTGGGCCCTCCTGAAGACCCTGCCCCACGGTGAGGACAAGGCGTAACGTCCCGATAAAACCACAGCCAGCGCGGGTTTAGCAGCGGAGGGATCAGAGGTGCTGCGGAGGCTGGTCCCGGTGGGCTCCCAACAGGCCACCTGGGGGCTTGGGAGGCTTCCCACGCTGTTTTCAATCACGTGTAAGGAAGGATCTAATCAGCACTGATCAAATTAACAAATGAGGAACCCCTCGGAGGCCTCATAAAGAGGTGCAGGTACCAGTTGCACCTGGGGTTAGCACTGGTGGGCTCAGGGGTCCCTCCCTCCAGGCATGAGGAGCCGAGGGACCTTCTTCCCCCAGGGCCGTCAGCTCTTGCTCAGCAAGAAGATGGGGCAGGGAGGGGTTCAGCTCGCCAGCACGGGCAGGCTGGGCTGGTGAGACACGGGCTCGAGGTCTCCATCACCGGAGAGGAACCGGCACCCCGGGGGAAGAGTCGTCGCAGCCTGAAGCTGGGGCGAGCCCAGGCTCTCCCCGCTGGCCCTACAGAGCCCCTCGGGGGTGGCTGCGGAGGGACCCGCTTCTGTAGATGAGCAAACCGAGGTGGGATGGATCCTGCCTTGCACAGCTGCAAGGGACCAGGGAAGTGGAAGGGCAAGGGTCTTCGACCAGCAAAAGGAGCAGCTGACGACAGACGAGTCAGGGCTGGAAACCCACGACGTGTTCGTAGCAAAGGGACGGGGGGGGTTTTCCTAGAGCTGCTCGTTCTTAAATCAATGTGGCCGTCGTCACGTAAATACACGCTAGTTCAGCTTGGCAATGCCTGGCAGATGACTGCGAGGGCTGCCAGAGGCTGCTCCAGGCACGCAGCTGGAAGGCTGGGATCCAGTGGGAGCGGGGAGGGGGGGGAAACTTCAGGAAGAACCGCTGGTGAGCTACCGAGGCAGAGCAAGTGTCTGCAGCGTGGGGATGGGCACCGTGGTGCAGCGGCTGCTCCTCTTCCTCCTCCTCGAGAGCCCAACCAGCTCTGTGTCTCCTTGGGTGACCCCCCTCCCAGCTCCTCCGGCAGCAGAAGCCTCGTCCCGGGGGTCCCCGTTAATCCCGGGTGGCTCAGCTGAGGCTGCAGAAGCCCTGGTGGGATGTGTGACCCCCCCCCCCGCCCCGGGACGGGCTGAGCCCCGGGGGCCGTCCCCCAGGCCATGGGGCTGCCTCAGCTCCTCTTGCCACATGGCTCCAATTAGCAGAGGGGGATTAATCACCCAGCCCCACGAAGCCATGAGCTGGTGGACGGGCTCCAGCTGTTGGCCGGGGCGGGGGGGGGGGGGAGGGGGGGCAGCCGATGGTGGGGGGCTGCCTTCACTGAGGTGCTCCGGGACCCCCCAGAAGCAGCAGCCGTGGGGCTGGGGCCGGGCTCAGCCACTCAGGCACCCCCCCATCCTGGCAGTGGGGTGTGGGGGGGGTCCTGGCTGCTCCCCACTGCTTTATTTCCTCGGCTGGCTGAGAACGGAGCCACCAGCACATCGCTCGCCTGGGCTGGGTGCCAGGGACGGTGCTGTGCCTTGTGCCCCCCACCCCCCCCGGAGCTGTACCGGGGGGCTCAGCCGCTCCCCGCTGCGACACAGCTCCGGTCCCTTCACACCCGCTCCGTAAGTGCCTTTCGGTGTATCCCGTGTCTGTGCCATAAATATTTGATCCCTGACAAACAGGAACATCCCTCTGGGCATCTCTGAGTGCCGGCAGAGCCCCGGGGGGGGGTAAGGGGGGGGGGGAATATTGCCTGGGCTGGGGAAGGAGCCGGCAGCTCAGCCGGGCTTTGAGTCCGGGGGTCCAGAGCCGGCACCCACCAGTGTGTGGGCACTGGGATCCCGGCGATCTGGGGGGGAAACCTTGCGGGGGGGGCGGGGGTTAATTCTGGCGGCCGCCTCTTCGCTGGGGCTGCTGCCCGGCTTGTGTTCGTGGGGTCAGGTTTCCTCGCCGCAGCTGGTTCTGGTTACCCCAGCGCAGGAGCGGCTGGGGGGGGGGGGCGCAGGGCTCCTCCGTGCCGCAAAGGGGCTGGGGGGGCAGGGGGGACGGCCGGGGGGAGGCGAAAGGAGAGGGGCCTGGAGCATCACACTTGCAGAGAGCTCATCTCTGCCCGGGGGGGTGGGTGGGATGGGGGGGCAGGGGATCCCCCCCACCCCAGCTGCTGTTGTCGCCCTGGGGAGCAGCCTTACCCATCCGGAGACTCTGCATCCCCGGCTCCAGGAGCATCGCCATGGCAGCCTCGCGCTCCCCCTGCAAGACAAGGAGGAGGGATGGTGGGGCGAGTGCCCGTGTACCCCGAAAGCTCTGGCCGCCCCCCTCAGCAGCGGGGTGCACGGCGTGCCATGGGTGGGGTGTCCACAGGGTCCCCACCGTCCCCACCCCAAGAGTGAACCCAGGCTCGACCCCTCCCTGAAGAACCCAGCAGGGCTGGCTCTGACCCTGCATCCCCCGGGGGCCCCCCCAGGAGCAGGTGGGAGACCCCAAAACCCGGGGGCTCAGGTTGCAATCGGGTGCAGGGGGGGATCGGTGCCCAGGCTCGGGGGGGGTGGGAGGGACAGGCCTCCTTTCATTGAAAAGGTCAGACAGATGTGCGTGATACAGATGTTGTGTGCAGAGCGCCATGGGGTCCACGCTGCAGATGTTTAGGTTTGATCAAAGAAAGAAACCGAGGGACGGCGATCCGTTAAAGTTATTATTGTTTTTTTTTTTTATCGAAGCAGTCCCTGCCCAGGGCCAGGCTCCTTGCAGCGTGGTGGCCGTGCCGGCAGCAGCAGGAACGGCCAAAAACGTCCCTGCCCACCCCGGGGACTGCGACCCAGCGTTGACCAGCTCCAAAACTGCCTCCCCGGGCTAAGAAACCGGGCTCCTGGCTCTCTGCCTGACGCGAGAGCATCCCATCGCCTCCGAGGTTGCGGGTCCCGCACCGGCCGCTTTCATCCCGCGGAGCTGCGGGCCCAGGACAAGGCTGAGCTCATCGGGGAGAGGTTTCGCTCTAAGCCAAACCCACCCACGCGCTGCCGGCCAGATCCTGCTCGCTCTCGGCAGCCTCAGGAGAGGAAAAAATACCTTGTGCTAAAAATGGCAGGTGGCGGGTTCTTCCCCGGAGCGAGGAGGAGCTGTGGCCGATGAAGGCTGCAGGTCAAACCCCAGCAGGGAAACGCGGCACTGGTGGTGCTGGGAGGGCCCGGGGTGGGGGGTGTCTGTCTGTCTGAGCTCTGCAAAGGCGCTTCGTCACCAAAACTGGATTTTCCCTGAGGTGGTGAGTCCCCGTGCTCAGGGGATCGTCCCTCCAGCGCTGGGAATTTGTGTGTCTCCTCTGGCAGAAGCTCTGCTCGTGGTTTTTTTCGGTGTCTGTTTGTCCCGGCTGCAGGTTGGACACCCCCCACCCCCCCCCGTGCTGCTCTAGGGCCAGGCTGGGGGGGTGACCCCGGCTCTGGCACCCCAAAGCCCAGCCTGACGGGGCTCAGCGTCCCCATCCCCGGGGGCTGAGCTCCGGGGGGGTTGGGAGGGGGGCACCTGTGTCCTGCTGCTGCGCTGAGCTGTCGGCACGAGCAGGGGGGAGCAGCGAGGGCTTGGGCTCGGGTCACTCGAGGGGTTCCAGCCCCTCCGTGGCCGTGGGGTGGTCTGGGCAGTCTGTCCGGAGCCTGTGCAGACCCTCAGGCTGAAACCCTCCACCTCAGTGGGTCTCGCCCAGGGGGGGTCGGCCGGCGGCTGTCTTTGCCCCCGAGGCCCTGCCTGGGGTCCCGGTGAGGAAGAGGAGTGGGCTCCGCAGACCAAGGGACCGAGGTGACCTCCAGCCCCCCGAGGGGTTTCGGCCGGCCGTGCCTCTCCTTGCGCAGTTTTGGAGACACGGCTTCTGGGCTCTGGCGAGGTTTTGGGGTACCCAGTGAGGTTTTCGGGGTACCCAGTGAGGTTGTTGGGGTGCCCAGTGAGGTTTTGGGGGTACCCAGCCAGCCCGGCACCCCCACAATCCCAGCCAGTGGGCACGAGTGGGCCCCTCCCCTCCCACGCACACGCGTGTGAGCAGGGCACACGCTTGTGCCGAGCCCTCGTGTCCCCCCGTGCTGTCCCCATTCAGCGCCCGCCCACCAACCTGCCGGGCCCCCCCGACCCCCCCGGGGCACAGCTGGAAGCCCCTGGCTTTGGGGGGGGCCCTGATGTGCTGCCGGGGTGAGGGTCCCGGCAGCTCCCGGCGCTCGCTCCGGCAGCTTGGCCAGGAGCAGCGTTTTTTTTGAGGACTTTTCCACCATTTCCGCCTCTGCGGGGGCTCGCGGAAACCGGGGAAAGGAAACAAGTTTGGGGCGGGTTTGGGGCAGGCGTCGCTGGGCACGGAGCCCCCACGGCATGGGGCGGGGGGGGCGTTTGTCCCCCCCAAGCCTCTTGTGCTGGGAGCGACTTGGGGACCCCCCCCCCCCGAATCCTCTGGGCAAAGCCATCGGGTTTCCAGGGGATGTTTGTGGGACACCCACCCCCCCCCAGCTCCCCGTTCCTGCTGCCGTCACTCGGCCACAGCTGGGACACGGGAACTGGGTGGGATGTCCCGGCTGGCCGGGGAGGTGACACCCTCACCCCAGCCAAGGGAAGAAGTGGGGTCCCCGCTGTCCCCACACCTCGGGCAGTGCCTCTGTGGGTCCCCAGAACCCCACAGCCACTTACCTCTGGAAGGAGGGGGCGGGCGGGGGGGACAGGTTGGGGACCCTTCAGTCCAGCCACCACCTTGTCGCTCCAGCTGTGCCGGCCGGGTGCTGGGTCCCGCTGCCACCGGTGACCCCCGGTGATCCCCGGTGATCCCCGGTGGCCCTGGCACCGGCCTGCCCGTGCCGCCGGCCCTGCCGCGCAGCCCCCCCCGCTCTCCGGCTTCCTCTGGCTTCCCCCAGCGCCTTCCTCCCACTCCCACTCCCGGCCGGCGCCCAGCCCAGCCAGCGCCTCAAATTGCAATTCCAGCTGCAGATGTGGGAGCGGGAGGAGGAGGAGGAGGAGGAGGAGGCAGGGCCAGCGCCGCCGGGAATGAAACCTAAACTCCCTGCTCGGCCCCGGGCTGGCCGCAGCCTCCCCGAGCTGGGGGACCGCAGGCTGCCGAGGGGGGACGGACCCCCCAGGGGGATGAGGCTCCCAAATCCAAGGGGGAATGAGGGTGCTGGGGGCAGAGGGGAGAGACAGCGACAATCCTCCGCCTCTGCCGGTGCTGTCGCCCCGTTAATTTGACTTTTCTCCATCCCCACACACGTTTCTCTCCCGGTTTTTGTCACCCTTCACCCCGGCTGCTGCATCAGCTGTAGCCTCGTGGCTCTCTGCGCCCATCTTTACCTACCGCCGCCGGCCCGCCCATCTGTGTGTCTGTCCGTCTGTCCATACCTCCAGCCAGACTTCAGACCCCCATTTCTCCCAGCCCCACAGCCCCCCCGAGCCGCGCTGCCTTCCAGACGGGGCTCCTGGCCGAGGAGCTGGGGCCGGGGTGGCCCGAGAGCGGGAGCCCGGCGAGGGCTCCGTCCTGCGGCCCCCGAGGGTCTCCATGCTGGGAAGAAACCACCCGTGAAGGACTCAAAACCACAGGCAGATCCTTGGGATCATGGAGATCGTTGGGATCATGCAGAAAACTGAGACTATTTGGATCGTTGAGATTACTGGGGCCATTGGGATTATGGAGATCATTGGAATCACTGAGATAATTGAGATTATTGGGGTCATTGAGATTAGTGGGGTCACTGAGATAATGGAGATCATTGGGATCATGGGGACCACTGGGAACATTGAGATCATGGAGATCACTGGGATCAGGGAGATCACCGGGATCACTGAGATCATAGAAGCCATTGGGATCATGGAGATCATTGGGATCGTCATGATTGCTGGGGTCACTGAGATCATTGGCTCAAGGCTCTAGACGGAGAAGCCTCTGACCCGCAGGTCGCGGCAGGCTGTGGAGGGGTTTTGTGAAAAACCCGCAAAAGTATATAAAAGGAAGGTATAACAAATCGACACCGTACGCGTAAGCTGGATCCCAAAGGGTTGACCTAGCGGGTCCTAAAGTGTCGCGGGGAGCGGAGGCTCCGTGCTGCTGGAATCGCACTGGGACAGCCCGCGGGGTGAGGGGCAGGACCGCGGGACCGTGCCCGTGAGCCTGAGGTGACCCACGGCTGGGGTGGGGTGGGGTGGGGTGGGATGGGGATGGGATGGGGTGGGATGGGGTGGGATGGGGTGGGATGGGATGGGGTGGGGTGGGGTGGGGTGGGATGGGGATGGGATGGGGTGGGATAGGGTGGGATGGGGTGGGGTTGGATGGGATGGGATGGGGTGGGATGGGGTGGGGTTGGATGGGGTGGGATGGGGTGGGATGGGGTGGGGTTGGATGGGGTGGGATGGGGTGGGATGGGGTGGGGTGGGATGGGGTGGGATAGGGTGGGATGGGGTGGGGTGGGGATGGGGATGGAGTGGGATGGGGTGGGATGAGATGGGGTTGGATGGGATGGGATGGGGTGGGATGGGGTGGGATGGGATGGGGATGGGATGGGGTGGGATGGGATGGGGTGGGATGGGGTGGGGTGGGATGAGATGGGGTGGGGTGGGATGAGATGGGGTGGGGTGGGATGGGGTGGGATGGGATGGGTGGTGGGCTGCCTTTGCTCTTCTCCCTGGGCTGGGCAGCCCAGACACCCCGGTGAGGGGCCCCGCGGGGCGAGCGCAGCCCGAGGGCCCCTGTTCCACGCTTGCCTCCCTCGATTGTCCCCTGGGAGAGGGTCAGGGTCAGGGGGCTCTTCCTCACGGATGTGGAGAGGGGCTGGGGGGGTGTCGGGGGTGCCTGTGGTGGGCTGGTTGTCTGTGTGTCCCCCCCCCACACCTACCGATGCACTCCCCCCCCCCATCCATCTCCCGACTCGCTATACCCGGGCACCCCTCCTGCCCCCACGCACATTTACCTGACAGTTTGCCGCCTGCTCCCTCCCTTCCCGCTCCTGCCTGAGGCACTGGGCCCAGTTTGGGAACTGGGCTGAGCCTAGAAGGGGCTCGGCTGGGGGCCGGGCTGGTTGAGCAGGGAGGTGAGGCAGGAGCTGGGCAAAGCCCGGAGCTTGGGCCGCGGGTTTCTGAGCCGGCTGGGGGTGCACGCGTGCACGCGCATGTGTGTGAACAGGCACACACACGTGTGCACAGACACGTGTGAACACATTGCATCCTGCTTCCGGCGCTGGCTGGACAGAAAAAAAAAAAAAAAAAACAAATAACCCAAACCAAACCAAACCCACACTTTCCAGGGTGTGCAGGGCAGCAGGTGCTTGGCTGCACTGGGGCTGTGCTGGGGCTGGTGGGGGTCAAGGTGAAGGGCTGGGTGGCAGGAACAGGGAGGTCCCAACCCCCCCCCCGGGGAAGCTTCGGAAGGAGGGAGGAGAGGGGTGGTGGGGGCTACGCCTGTGTTTTCTTCCCTGGCGCCTGGTCAAGGGATGAGGTAGCGCTTTCCGGGAATTGAGGCACGGCCCGTGGAAATGCCGCGGTGGGGCCGGAAACCCGGGGGCAGCGCGGGGAGGCGAGCACCCCTGCCTGGCCAGGACACGGAGCCTGGGGGTTTTTTGGGGGGGGGGGGGGGGGGAGGAAACCAAACCCCAGGGCCAGGCTGGGCTGGGGTGCCCCCCCCCTGGGGTGGCACCGGTGTCCCCCTCCCCGGGAGCCGGCTGGGCGCAGCCCTGGGGGGGTACTGGCAGGCTGCCCCCTCCTGCCCCGTTCGCCCGGTTTGCTCGTCCGCGGGCAGGCAGCGTGTCTGGTCCCTGTGCCAGGACCTTCGGCGCGGGGAGGGCAATCTTCATCATCATCACCGCCATCATCTCCCATCGCCAGGCGTGGGGGGGAGCGGGATGGAGAGGCAGGCGGCGGGACCGGTGCAAAGTGGGGCGGGGGGGGGGTGGGGGTGGGTGAAGGAAAGTGCCAAAACCAAACCAAGGTCGGCACGGCCGTGATGCCAAGGGAGGTCCCAGGGGGAGGGGGGTGTTGGCGCCCACAGCCCCCCCCCCACACGCCGGCACACGGGGAGCAGGGCGGGAGCCCGCCCGGCCTGGGAAGGGCCGGCTCGCTTCCTTCTCACAGCCTGGCCCACGCTCGCAGCCGGATAATTGATGAATTTTCCCTTTTGCTGGCCGTCCCCGCTGTTCCTCGCAGAGCCGCAGCCCCCTCGGGCTGGTTTGGGTCCCCCCCCTCCCCCGGTCCCACCCTGGCCAGTGTGTGTGTCGTCGTCCCCCCCCCCCCCGTCGTGTCCCATTTCACTCTTGTGCCACGCCGAGGTGGCCAAGCTTCCCACGGAAACCCCGGGCTAGTGGAAAGCACCGGGGCGCAGGGGCCATCTGCGGTCATCTGGCCCGTGGGTTGGGACGGGCTGTCACCAAGCAGCCCGTGCCTCGGTTTCCCCACAGTCCTCGCGCCGGAGGTGTCGGGGAGGGCTGCGCTGGGTGGGGAGTGCAGAGACCCGGCTCTCATGAGCTGAACCCCCCAGCCCCAAACACCCCATCCCTGCCCGCCGAGCAGGGCTGGGGGTGCAGGTGGGGACGAGCCGGCTCGTGGCTCCGGTGTTTGTTCTGAAGGAAATGATGGGGGGCTGTGAACCGCCCCCCCCCCCCCCCCCCCCGCCGGGGGTGATCCACCCCAGCACGGCGCTGGGAGGGGGGCAGCCCCACGCGCGCTCCTGTGCACACACAAAGCGAATCGCAGCCGCCTGCAAGGTCCCTGCCAAGCACCTTCTGCACACGCGTGTGCACACGCACATGCATGTGTACATGTCCGTACCGCCCCCCCCATCCCACCCCCCCCCCACCCCCCCCCGACTTCCCCAGGAAACCCACAGCAGCTCACAGCGTCTTCACGGTGCTCACCCAACCTTTCATCTCCCCG